GCATTCCTGGGGAATTTTTTCATGCTAGTGAGACTAGAGTCTTGCTTGTTTTTGGTAATATTTTGACATGTTCAGATATGTTTTTTTAACAAAAACAACAACAAATAGTTGTTTTTTTCCAAAAACTTTTGTTTCATAATAATGAGATTGTATCTTACTATTATGAAATAGTTTTTTGGCTTGTGTGGGGAAAAATATAAAGAAATTTTCCCAAATTTTGCCTTAATGATCACACATTGTTGCCTTTCCCATTTTTTAATGACAAGTATCAAGTATTCAAGGCATTTGTAAAGCAAAGTGTTCACAAACATTAGATTTTGTCTTCCGAAGAATACAAAGCATTGAAGAGCTTACATTTGTCAGGACTCAGCTTCTGTTCTTTTCCTGGGGAACTTGGTTTGCCTTTACAATATGTTCAAATACTCAAAAACAGAGAGTAAGGATTTTAGCGTCATAGAATGTAGAAGATATACAGTAAAATTAAGTCACATGTTGTATTTACTATCTTTCAGGACCTGTGAAACCAGGATTCTCTGAGCTTCACACCAAGGCTGCGCTGATTGGTTGATTTTGCCTCAATAATGTCAGGTTAATGTTTGTTTGAACTATCCAGATTAATAATGTATTGCTTTCTATGGAAGCATATTACACTGATATTATATATTACAAGTGAAAAAACAATTTTAAGCTTAAAATGTTTTCTACTAAACAGGGAGAACTTAATTTAATTTTTTTTACTGTGGCCCAAATCAATTCAACCTAAACCTACATAATGCAATTTTAGGTCAGTATTTCATGACCAATAAATTCACATTGGTACAGTTCTGACAGGCATTACTCATATCATTTAAGAGAGTTATAGGTTTAAACTAACAATGATCATGATAATGATCAAATAATTTCTTAATGTTTAACACCCTGTTGAAAGGTGACTCTCATTTTACTTTACTTTCCACAGTGGTGACTCAACTGATCTGACTCAACCTCATGTTAGTCCAAATAACATGATACATTTTTACTATTTCCTTCTGACTTTTTGTCTGGTTACTTGACATACATGTTGATCACACTTGAATTCATCAGACAAACATTCATTAAAAGACAGAAGCTAAAACTTGTACAGATGGCTCAAAGGTAGAGTAAACAAGCTTTTTATAGAAATAACAACATGGAGGAACATGATGCCCCAAGTGTGAGGTTCCAAGAGGTCCATGTTTTCTGTGGCATATGGACTGGTACCTGACCAGTAAACAACTTTTTTTTTTGGCATTTCACTGATTATATCTTCTAATCTTAGTCGATTAAGTGGGCAACCAGAAACGTGTGTGTATGTTTGACTGGCCTCTGTAGTTTCTCTCTTTATGTTTTCTCTCGCAGTTAGTGTTTAGGCGAGAAACAGAAATAAATTCGTAGGTGACAGTAATGGAATGTAAAGAAATGAAATCAGCAATGAAAGAGTATTTTACTAACTACTTTTTTGTTATTCCAAGTCACATAATAAACCACACTTTTTTGTTGTGGAAAGTGAGATTGGTATCATGTGGGGGAAGATAGTCGAGCAAAAGTTCTTTTTTTTTGTTATTGTTGTATGTTTCTCAACCTTTTTTGGGCCATATGTTATTGTTGTATCAATTTGGTTGTATTTAATGCTGTGGAGCTATGTTTCTCAACCTTTTTTGGGCCATAGCACAGATTTGACATTAGAAAAATGTAAATGTTTTAATTGAATTTTTAAAAAGGTCCTAAAAGACATAAAATAAAATATAGTTATCTTTTAGTTTCAATTTACAAACAGTTTACTTATTCAGTGACACACAGGCCTGATTAGTTGAACACAAAGCGGATGTACTTGCAGGAATTGAAGAAAGACACATAAGGATCTTCAACTGCTTAAAGCTTGTCTTTAACTTTTAATAGCCATCTGCTGCTACCTAGTGAAAGAGTATTTAACTGTCCTGCCTATCACTGCCGCACAGACCACGACAAATTGTTGGCAATAAATAAAAGTTTTCAGACATATTAAGTGAAATCGGATACTATTTCACACTTCTGTAGTGTCACACAAATGTGCTGTGGCACAGTGGTTGAGAAGCACTGCTGTAGAGGTGTACAGTTACAGATCAGTTGTTCAGTGCTACGGTACAATACATTGTAAGAGCATTTTAGGTTTAGGAGAAAGGGGAAGAAGCTACATGATTTCACAACTTTGAATACTTTCTTTGAGGTTGAACTGATTTTCTATTTGAAAAAACAAACAAACCTCAAATTGGAAATTCTGTTTCCTTTTTTTTTTTCAGGTGGCCATCATGAGTACACGTTCTTTTTTAAGTTAACATACTTGTGTGTACTTTACCAGAAGAAATACTTTTTAAAACCTGAACTCTCACTTCCCACTGGCATCATGTGAACTCCACCCATTTAAAAAAAAAAAACTTTTCGAGGCACCATGACACAAATCCAGTTTTTTTTTTTTTTTTTTGTACTTTGTTTAAACTACATTGTAGTGGGTTAGTTCATAAATACATATCTATATATCACTGAGCTTGCTAATATGTTTAATTCACTATTTACACGATGATCACTTACTGTATGAATAATGCAAAAAATTAATCACTGCTTATGGCCCGTTTTAATCGATAAACTGACAAAAACTGTCCAAAAAAAGGTTTTAGAAACAAATTCACTTCATCACATCTCCTAAATCCTCTTTAAATCATTAAAATAAAGTCACATTGATAAATAAAAAATATATACCAGCATAATTTGGCTCACAAGAAAAACATGATTTTCTATGTGCCACATTTAATTTAATATCGTTTTGCTTTTAATGATTTTTTTTTTTAGCTTAAATTAGGCAAAACTTGAATTTCTTTGCCCCCCCTGTCAAAAATAAACCCAAGATAAAACAAATACATGGCATTAAGGGTTAGCAGTTGCCCTAATGCATTTGACTCTGAAGACTGTACTGCTAAAGAATTGCATTTAAAAAATAGCTGTAGTCACGTGGTCTGCAGAAGAAAATGTCAAAAGCTGCAGATCACCTTGTGATTTATTTGCGAAACGTGCCTTTTAGTTTCAGTTCCATCTTCAGCTGTTCCATTATGGAGTATTTACTTGAGTTTTAAATGTCCTCTCTCTTTCCACAAGAGGGCATCCAAGATCCACCAACCGAAACACTAACGTCTTGTTTCAAAAAGTGGCATCAGTTGATTTTCATGCTTGCTTTTGCTGAACTATAATTTGTTAAAGCCTAGACTACTTGTTAACTATTATGTACATCTGATGACTATTAGAATGGAGAAGCCATTACAGTGCAAAGCCGACAAGATGCAATTGATTGGCTACAGATAATTGATTAGTTTCTGAACAGGAATCAGATTTGTTTGTTTGATGTTGTTTTTTTTAAAGGTAATTCCACGCAATTTTAACATAAATCAACTTTCTGTTTTCACATCTTATTGGACGTACAGTAGCTTCAGCACACGGTCCGAGGTAAAGCACCAGTCTGTTACTATCACCTGCTGGCAACTGAAAGTAAAGTAGGTTAAAAAAAAAAGATTTCTTGCTCACTGACAAGACTCAGTACGAAGTCAATACTCAGAAGGGCTGTCACTTTTTATAAAGTCAATGTCAAACACCTTTAACTTCTGAAGATTTTGGGATGAAGTAAAGTTTGCATGTACCCAAAACATAAACCCAAGTCGTCCTCACACCGGACTTCACTTCTTTCCTCTGTGCTTGTAATTGGATATCAATGTGCCAAAATAGTAACAGACATTAATAGATACTGACAAACACTACAGATAAAGCAGCAGAATGAATGGTCAGCAGAATGTAGATGCTTTGGTGTAGCATTTGAAAACTGTTTAAGTATCCTTGCTGACAAAATAGAATTGTGCTGCATTTGTTATTAGCCAGTGTGGTGTCTGGCTAACTTAGCCTTGAATTTACCCTGAATTTAAACTTCTGAACTGATGCTTAAACAGATGTTTGCACTGAGTATGAAAAGTGACAGCCCAGTACAGTGTGCCATTGGTGCTCATCAGCTTTAAGCTACACGTTAAATAAATCTGCCAAGGTACAGTGTTGCCAAAACTATGAGGAACAAAGCTCAATACTGATACATAGCTGAAAGGACAGTGACTGGCTTTATCACTAGCTAGCATTTACCCTGATAGCTAGCTCTGTTGAACTGGACTGGCCAAAAAAGCCTCAGAGGCACTGTTAAGAAAAGAAGAGGTGAGTTTCTTTTAAATCTCATTTAGTCATTTCTATGGTTTAGAAAAAAACATGATTTTACCAAATAGTTCAGTAATGGCTAAAATGGGAGTTATAGTGATGATATTGTTATGTTCTCAGGTGGTGAGAAGGAGAAATGTGATGCTGAATTACACAACACAGTGGATGTGTGAGCTGAGCCGAGATGAAGAAGACGGCGTAGAAGAAGACTGAGAAGAAGAAGAGAGATATAGGTAAGAAAAACAGAGATGTACAGAGCTGTACAGTACTGAGAAGGGAGGAACTGTACACAGGATCTTGCATAGTACAGGTTTTTGTCAGTTGTGCTTTCAACGTAGTTGTAGTGATCGTGATTGTGAGATTCTAAATCCTTGCCCTTTAACCCTAGCACCATGTGAGGTCTTTGCGTCATCCAATCCTAATAGAAAAGGTGTGGCCTTCTGTGCAGCTGTGGCTGATGATATGCTCCGAGTCAGAGTACATTTGTCTGTTTCCTGTTACCATGAACCATGATAAACAGCCCTTTGTTTGGGGTGGTCATCCTTGTGTCTGCGCCGATCAGTCCAACAGCAGCACTGAAGTCCTGGCCCTGGTGTCTGATTGATGAAATGTAGACACTATGAGGTTGACAAACACAAACAGAAAGGCACATGAGTCATTGTGGAGCCCCACAGCAAGGGTCAGCACACTCTCAGACGTGGGCAGAGCCCCTGTTGTGATGATGCTGGTGTGGCAGGAGGATGGGCGGGGTTATTGCTTTGAGGGTGTTGCCAGGGCAGCTGAGACTGCTGTGGCCATGGTTGAGCAGCTGGGCAGCAGGAGGGTCAGGCCGGGGTGGGATGAAGACGGGACAGGAGCGTGTGCGGGCGTGGCTTTTGTGGCCGCCAGCATGGCAGATGAGCTCACTGACTGTTCCCAGCGGAGGCAAGTGTTGGCGCCAGCGCTCCGCTCGGTCCTCTTTGTGCTTGATCGAATACCAGGTCAGAAAGATGAAGACGAAGCCAACGAACTTAAGGCTCGCGGCTAGGCCAAAGTAGACAAAGCGGAAGGAAGTGACGTCGTACTCCCAGCAGGAGCCGTGCACGCCACAGTCCTGCTGCCACAGCATGCACGTGGTGTCAATCACAGCACCGAAGTAGATTGGTGTAGGGATGTAGGCTAGGGACAAATAGAAATGTTTTAGTAAACAAAGGTTTAGGATTAAATATGTTTCACAATATGTTCAAAACCTTAATAAATATGATATGTCTACATGTGAAACTGTAGAAGATTCTGTCTACAAAATAAAATTTGTGAGCCATTTGTCTAATTTTCATATGGTTTTAGATGCAGACATAGGCGGCCACTTGCTTGTAAGAATAATTTAGTTCTGCAGGTTGAAAATGTTTCCAGTTACTTTGTGGCGAAACACTAACTTTACGATCTGACGGATTCAGACCTGCCTTGCATTTCTGAGGCTTTTTACAGGGAAGCACCAGTTTTGTGTTCGCAGTCATGCCAAGCAGCGTGTCAGGACAGCTGTTATCAACCCAGAGTGCATGTCTGCACCAAACTACACTTGAGGCTGAGGGGTTTAGAGATCTCTCTGTGAAAGTGTAGTGTGTCAGAGTGTGTGTCAGAAGAGAAACGAGACTCGCCACACAGTTGCACTCTGAGCCAAATCCCTTCACAGCTCAGGTCCTCTCACTGTACAATGGACACAATTTAATTGCTGATTCGTTGCTTTTGATCAATTGCTCACTTAGTGTGAAAAACCCTATTAATCCTCAACACCTAATCTTTATTAAAGCTGATTCAACAAATAAGTGGTTTCCAAAGAGTTTGTTCTGATTGACAAGGCTGCAATAAACACACACTGGGCTTTTTAAGTTGATGCAAAAAGTTTCTGGAACTTACCCAGAGTTCGAAGCAAGACGAACTGCATCCCGAGAGCAAACGGCCTCTCCTGCTCATCAACAGACCTGGGGCACGTGGGATGTGAAAGTAGAAAGTGATTCAAAGTTTTGAATAAAAAAATAAAAAAAACATTGGTGCAACCATCGGTTCCAAGACCTTTCTTCAGGTCATTTATGACACGTAGACAAGTACAGCGTACGCAAGCATTTTTTATGGCTTACAATTAGCTATTTCGGCTGCTATCATTATCAATATTTAATTATATATTTTTGATAAATATTTGTTAGATAAAATTAGCTTGACAGTTGGAATCTTTTGTATAATATGAACCACCCATCTACCTTGTAGCAAATCTTTTGTATTCTTGGGTCTGAAAGTCACTTCAATATAAGTTTCCATTCCGTTTGATGGTTCATTATATAAACATAACAAAAATGAACTAGAAAAAAGCAAAAAATCAAAGCTTCTTTTTTGAACATACAGTCCTAAGTGGTTTTTTTTGTTTGTTTGTTTGTTTTTTACCTGAGTGTAACGATGATGGCAGAGGGCTGGGCACAGGCAGTGATGAGGGTGACGATGAAGAGGAAGATGAGGAAGGGGATGAGCGTGTTGCAGGTGCGGTCGCACTTCCCCGACACAGCGTGACCGTTCTCATTCAGGTAGGTTTTAACAATGACTAGCTGCAGTTGGTTGACCTGACCACCAGAGGACGGAGTGATGACCTGTCTGCTCTGCACGCAGGCACAGTCGGTGTAGTTCCTTATCTGTATTCAGGAGGTAAAAGCAGAGAAGAGTTCCAACTGCGTTCTAATCAAAGACTCCCAAATTTTATCCATAAATTATTTTAAATATGTTGGGGGGAGAAAAAAAAAGAAACACTTGAATTGCAGACACAGACTGTTTGGCACCAACAATATGTGGTGGTAACCAGTGATCTGAACAAAGACTCTGGGAATTTTCTTTCCCTGTGTTGTTTTGAGTTTCAATCTGAAACTTCCTGTGCTTTGATACCGGCGTAAGAGAATGTAAAGAACTTTGTGTTTCTTTAGGAACCATTCTCCTTTCATTCTTCACATCTAAGAAAACGCTCCATAAATACCTTTGTTTCATTGTGTTTATCAGATAGAACGACAAGTGGGGGGAGTGGGATTAGCCCGTGCTGTCCGTGTGATCACTCACCCCCGTGCTGTCATTGCCCACGTTGCTGCATCCAGCCAGACAGGGGTTGAAATAGGTGATGCCGTCAGAGCCACAAACAGGCGCGTATTCGTGGATTTTACAGCCACAGTTCACGTTGCAGCCGCCCGTCAGGTTCCTGTGGGTCATCGTCAAGGTCGGACTGCAACGACAACAAAGAACGGTCACATACATCTTTGAACATCAGGGTCAAGCATAAGGTGGATGTTATTAATTTTAAACATTAAGTTATATATTCACCTCTTTTCTTTTATGAGCTGAAGTGAATGCAATCTCAAAAGTTTTCCATAAAACTCATTTATGGGGCTTTGTCGCTTTTTTTAATATCAAACTTCTAATAAAACCTCCCCACCGCAAAGAGGATAATACCTCTTTTCCTCACATCTCTGCATGGGATCACGCCATCGAATTTG